TATTTTTAAAAATAGCACAATACATGGCACAACCTTTCCCATGCTCACTTTTTCTATATTTCAGTGTGGATGATTAATATTGTGCAATAAATGTGTGCTGCAGGATTTGGCAATGTCTGCAAATGGCACAAAACACAACATTGAGAGGCAAAGTTAGGGCAGTCCCACCTGACTGGTTCTATGTCCCTTCCCTCAAATAGTCCAGCTTCCTCTCATCCTTGTATTTCCTCTTCATTTACCCAGTGCCTTAGTCTTACTATTAAATGATTGTTATGGTCATCCCTTCTAATGTGTTCATTGTTAGGTGGCAGCTCCAAGGTGTAGTAACATTTTTTAAAGAACACGCTTGAAGGAGAAAAGGAAGTGACCTTGAAGCAGACGGTATCATTTCCTCCAATCACGTGCAAGATGTCAATGATGATTCAAAAAATGCCTCTGAAAGTTTGTCAGTCATTGAAAGAACTCTTTTTATACCCGTCCTACTCTTCAAAGCTTTTCCACATACAGATGACTCGCAAACAACCTGCAACGCAGGTAGAGTAAGGTAAACCTGTCACCAGATTACCAAAGTCACAGAGAGGTTCAGTGGGCCTCCCAAGGTCACACAGCCTGGACAGCAGCAATCCTGGATCTGCAAGGTCCCAAAATAAATCCTTTTTCTTACCACAGAGGCAGTTCTCAAATTCCACCTCTGGGCACTAATGGCTGCATGGTACTTTCCATGAATGCCCCCCTATCTCTAATTACCTGCCTACCTCAGTCCAAGTGAATTCCAGAATCTAAGGCCCAGCTTTTTTAGCTGACCTTCTCTAATATATAGCAATATAATGAGGGTTCTGACATTCTATCATATAATATTTCTGCTATAATTGTTTGGGGGTATTTTAAGTGGTACTGTATTTGGGCCTCAGAATTGTACGAACCGTACACTACGGGTACACATTAAAAATCAAATACGGGGAAGTAGAAAGTCTAAATGGACCTAAAAATAAATACACCCAAGCCTCCCAACTGGGAAATAAAAAATATTTTCAAGTACAGCAGGTCCTTGAAGAATGTCATCTCGTTCAACATCATTTTATTATAAAGTTTATGAGATCCCGTGGGAACTTAACTCTTGTTTCTATCAATTAGCCTATAGTAAAATTGGTTTCCTTATTTATCATTTCGCTTAAAGTAATAGAACCTATTGGTGGTGTTAAGTTACATGCTATTCTCTATGCTCTAAGCCTTAAACTCTTTTGCTCTTAAACCACAATTTCTGCTGTCCTATTGGGAACCTTGGCTATTAGACACAGGAGAGGGGCATAGTGTATGGGCAGTGACCCCTTCATGGAAGGTGTCATGTAGAAGAAGGTTCCTTAGATTCATCATGGGGAGGGGGTCACACTGCTCTTTGGTAGCAGAGAGCCTGGAGGGCTTCCCTCATCACTTCAGCGTGAGATTCATAAAACTGCCCCCCAGGTCACAGACCACTAAGTATCCTTCTGAAGACCCATTTTCTGACTAACAGTTTGGAAAGTTCCCCAGTCATGTTTCTTATTCAAAACATGTCAGTTTGACAACACTCATTCATGCTGCTTTCCACGTAGCTGTTCCCGCTTGGACACTGCTACCAAATGGCACTCTCTAGCTCTGCTGTCCATTCTCAAAGACGATCCCAGCTCTCCACTGCCTCCTCCAAATCCCTCTCCCTGTCATGTAAGACCCTTCACATCACAGCCCAAGGTGACCTTTCTACCTCTATGCTGATTCCTGTGGGCTTCACACAAGCTCAAGTATTTCCTGTTCCTCACAAGCACCCTAAACCAGTGATGGCGAACCTATGACACGCGTGTCAGAGGTGACACGCGAACTCATTTTTTTGGTTGATTTTTTTTTGTTAAATGGCATTTAAATATATAAAATAAATATCAAAAATATAAATCTTTGTTTTACTGTGGTTGCAAATATCAAAAAATTTCTATATGTGACACGGCACCAGAGTTAAGTTAGGGTTTTTCAAAATGCTGACACGCTGAGCTCAAAGGTTCGCCATCACTGCCCTAAACTGTCCTGCTACCCTGTTTGCCCCGTCGCTTCTTTCACCTGGAGTACTCCGTCCTTTCTCTGCCTATCTGATTCCTACTCAGTATCAAAAGTCCAGCTCAAACACTTTCTTTGCTCCAAATTCAGTTATTTATATGCAATTGGCCCTGGAACAACACAGGTTTGAACTGCATGGGTCCACTTATATGGGGACTTTTATTCGGTAAACGTTATTTTCCTTATAATTTTCTTAATAACATTTTCTTTCTCCTAGGTTACTGTATTGTTAGAAGATAATACATAATTCATGTAACATACAAAGCATGTGTTAATTGGGTGTTTGTTACCGAGAAGGCTTCTGGTCAACAGTGGGCCATTAGCAGTTAAGTTTTTGGAGAGCCCAAAGTTATAGGTAGATTTTCAGTGCCCTTAACCCCCACGCTGTTCGAGGGCCAGCTGCACATGCCTTCGCCCTCCTTTTAAACTGTGTTATACAGGACCTAATGCAACAACTTGGTTCCTGGTAGGTGCTCAATAAATTTGGTTGGGTAAGTGGCTAGATCTCACGTGTCCACACCACTGTTTCACGAGGCAGGAAGGTGCAATAGGGTCTCAATGTCGGTTGGTAAATCGGTAGATCATTAGTGAGAGCAGTGGCCTTTTTGCAGTTTGCTTTTTCTATCCGGTGTATTTTTCTCCACTTTGTGACCCAGGACCTTAATCGTTTTGCCTCGGTTGAACGTACATATCCACCACATCAATGCAGAGTAAGAAAGTTTGGGTGTTGTTGTTTTTAGGATTCCTGAAGTTTTGAAGTAATAATAATACATTTTCCTCCTAGAAGATTTTGTCATTCTTACAAGGCTGTGTGGTTTAGAAGGTGCTAAGGCAAACAAATCCTGAGCAAAAAGTGCAGGTCCCAAATGGAGGATAGCGGCCTGTCCACCTCAATTCCCAGAGCCCATCCACCCAGCGAGGCAATCTTAGTGAACAACTGCGCTTGTCGCTCCTCTGGAGAACTCCCTGATGACGGGTTCCTGAAGTGAGACTGGAGATATGACCCAATGAAACCCAACCAGCAGGGTCACCAGGGCTGCTGAAGCATGAGTCTGCATTTCTCAAGTCAATGTAACAGAATCTGAGCCATGCAGAGCGGAGAGTGGGCCAGAGGCTATCTGGTAGCCAAGGGCACTGCTGGGGCTTTAGAATAACAGCGTGAGGCTGTAATCGGATGCCATCCCGGGACATTTAGCCAGTTAATCATCTCAATCACCCATTCGTTATTCATCAACACGAGAAACCAAGTTTTCTTTTGGCTGCCCTTTTGCCCTTTCAGGTTACACCGATATTACGCTGTCCTTACCTTCTCCTTGTGTCGCATAAAATGCACCTGGCATAGGAAAGCATCTCGTCACCATGGATGTCACTGTGAACACTGGCTTGGGACGGCCCAACACAAGCGCTGGCCGTTTAAGGGCACGGCTTTCAGTAGTTCTTCAAGCCTCATTAAGACTGTAAATTCACAGAGACGTGAGACCAACAGCCATGTAATCTGAGGCAGGAGAGGCCTTACAACCCTATAGCCCTTACTGTTGTCTCAATTATCCATTTTATTGCAGCCTTGGAGGAGAAGATTAAGAGGGTAAGGTTTTTTGTCTTCAATGTTACAGATTCTCAACAATAGCAAATCTGTCAAACTAATCACACGAAGAGCCCAACCTCAGAGTGAGCCCTTCCACAAGGCCCACACTGCCTCTTCAGGCTTTGTATCAAGGGGAGTAAAGACAAGGATTTTGGAGTCAGACTTCCGGGTCTGGCCCTCACTACTACATCGCCTTAACGATTCTCTCTGGGCCCGCTCCCTCATCTGTACAGTGTGCGTGGCAATAACAACACCAACCCACATGATTCCTGTGATAATTAATTACCTCATGGGAGGTCAGTAAATGTTAGCCCTTATTTGCACTGTCTTGAATTTAGCTAATCCATTGTTTGGGGAGTTTTATGGGTCCTGGGAAAATATGACCTTTGCTCATCTGTAATAAGGGAGAAAGAACACATACTATATCTTTTTGTTTAATGTTCAAATCTCTACATCAGTGATTCTCAAAGTGTGGCCTGGGGACTCCTGCAGATCCCCAGCAGCCCAGTCCTTAAATATATACATCACTGTATAAGTTTAAAACACACAGCATGATGGTTTGATTTATACAGATACAATAAAGAGAAAAAAAGTAAGAAAAAAGGGACAAATTTTTCTCCTTGTGATGAGAACTCTTAGGATTTACTCTCTTAACAACTTCCCTATATATCATACAGCACTGCCAGCTGTTGCAAAACCACCTTTGTAATCCTGAAATGTTATTTGCCTTTTTCACTCTCATGAGTGTGGAGTGGAATTTTCCAGAGGCTACATGCTAGGTGATGATGTAATCACTTAATAGGTAATGGAATGTGTGCTTGTATATTCTTCCTGTGGTGTTGTTTGTTTTTATTCCTCAACTCTTTCTAATGGAGTAAATAGCAATAGCTATAACCCACATCAACAAATCTCTTTGGGGTGCTCAATCATTTGTTTCGTTTTTATTTTTTTATTTCAGAAAGGAAGGGAAAGGGGGGAGAGAGAGAAACATCAGTGATGAGAGAGAATCATTGATTGTCTGCCTCCTGCACGCCCCACACTGGGGATCCAGCCCGCAATGCCCTGACCTGGAATGGAACTGTGACCTCCTGGTTCATAGGTTCCCCGCTCAACCACTGAGCCACACGGGCTGGGCCAGTTTGTAAGAGTTTTAAAAAGATCCCGTGGCCAAAAACTGAGACCCTCCGCTAGACTATTTCAAGTCAAAGTCACCCTCCCGACCACCTGCAAATCCGTCACGCAAAAATGCCAACGTGTCCTCCGCTTTGAGACTCTGCCCCGGGACGGGCCCCAGAGGCACTCTGCCCACCTCTGCCCTCCTGTCTTTCAGGCTGTCGGGGTCCGACTTGCCGGGCGAGGAGTGGCTGGACTACGAGAAGCACGGCCATCGCCACTCCATGATCAGGAGGGTCAAACGGTTCCTGAGCGCCCACGAGCACCCGGGCAGCACGCGCGGCCGGCGCTATGCCCGCCAGGCCAGCGAGAGCTCCGCCTTCCTCCCGCCCGGCGACCTCAGCCCCCCCAGGGACCTGCTGGACGTGCCCTCCCGGGGCGCCCGCCGCGCCCGGAAGCACCTGGCCCCGGAGGGGAGCCCCGCGCTGCACTCCAGCCTGGGGGAGCTGTCCACCATCAGGGAGACCAGCCGCACCAGCACCTTGCAGAGCCTGACTCCGCAGCCCAGCCTGAGGGCCTCCCCCGTCAAAATGCCGCAGGTCCCCGAGGTGCGGATCACCGCCCCGGGGCCCGTGGCCGAGGACCTGGGGGACTCCACCGCCTCCATCCAGAGCTTCGAGTTCACCGGGGTGCCGCCCATGGGCTCCGGGCTGCCCGGGGACCCCCTGAGGCTGATGGTGTTCCCCTCGGGGGAGGGGACGCCTCCCCGAGGCCCCAGTCCCCAGACTGTCTTAACCCAAGCTGAGCAGGACCTGTTCCTGTTCGCCCCCGGAGAAGACCCTTTTGCGAACGACGCGTTCCCCAAAAGGTGGAGCCTCCCGGGGTTCCTGGAGTCCAGCCACACCTCCCTGGAGGGCCGAGGGCCGGAGCCCGCCAACCCCGAGCCGCCTCCGTTGCTCGACCCGGAAACGTCCTCCGAGACCAGTGGCATCAACTTCGTGGCGGGCCCGCGAGCCTCCTCCGACCTGCTGTATCTGATGGAAACTCTGGACACGAAGGAAACGGACATCGTAGAATTTAACAACGAGCTCGCGGACGGGTCGCCCGGAGGAAAGCCAGCGAGCGCCAGGACCTAGTGCTCGTCTCCATCCTTCCCTTCCCGGAGGTTCAGCATGAGTTGCAGGACATGCCAAGGACTGGTCAGTTTCTAAACAGCAATCACACTGTATAAGCTATTTAAAACTCTGGAGGGCATTATGATCCGGACGTTTTCAACTAAGAAAATCCAGCACATCTGCATCATCCACCACCGCGGGGCTTCCGTGGACGCTACCCTGACCGCAGTGATGTATCTTAACCAAATAAGGAGCCTTGAATACATATATGATTTACAAACCCATAGATTGTCAGCTTTGGGAAGCACCTTAGAGATCATAACACAATCCCCTGGCTTTGCCAAATAGGAAGACAAAGAACTCCCTATTTGTTTCCTTTTCTTTTTCTTCTTTTCTTCAATTATAAAGACAGGGAGATGGCTCGTAAAATGCCTCAAAAGCTGCCTTCTAATGACGAGCTTTTGTTTGAGGCTTTCCTACCACTTCACTCCCACCTTCTAACCTATTATTATCATTGCTTCCATGTTCTTAAGCCTCAGCTTCACCTCCCATTTCCCCTTCTCCTTTCACCGCTTCATTTTTCTCTGTTCCCACTTTATTCTCCCATCTTCCTCTAGTTCCCTTCTTCCTAGTCTTGCTCCTTCCCTAATACTCCACTCTGTCCCACCTTGCAGGTTATAGTATTTGCTCCTGCCAACTTGGTTGCTTACTTTTTGCCGTGATTTCCTAAATGTGAGGCACTGGCAACGCCTCCCACAGAATAACCGAAGATGTCAACAAATCCACTTGACACACTTCCAGCCCCTCCGCGGAGAGGGTGGGAGTCCATGGAACCCCGCACCCTGGGCAGCCATGGCCGTTTCTCCCCGCCTCCACTCTGAGGCCTGGAACACTGGACAAAACTGAAGTCAAGATGGGCATGAGACTGAAATAGCCACATGCTATGGAACCAAAGAATACCAAAGCTTGAACGTTTTTAACTCGAACTCTTAAAGCCAAAATCCCAATCTTTTCACAGCGTGGGACCAGTTACTGTGTCTGCCAGGTTGTTTGGGATGAGGGAGGACATTGGAGCTGGGAGGTTTAGGGGGTCCAGGACTGCACCATGGGGATGGGACTGGGACTCACTCACTCCAAGGAGCTCTTGGGGTGGCTGCCAGTGGGGGGCTCCCAATTTTGTCTGGAAAGCCATGTCTTATGAGCGCTGCTCTCACTATTTCTGTCATGTGATAAAGCTTGACTACATAAGGTTTAAGAAATAAAATAACCCTAATAGCCACCATGTACTGAGTGCTCACAGTGTTCCAGGCAGCAGCACAGAAAGTTCACAGATGACCTCACTAATCCTCACAGGAATCTTATGAGCTGATATACTGTTGTCTCCATTTTCAAGATGAAGATACCAGAGGCTTTGGAGAGGTAAAATAATTTGACTAAAACCACATAGCCAGGAAGTGCAGGGCTCAGATTCAAACCCAGGTTTCTGACTCAGGAGCCCATACTCTTAGCCGGTGAGCTCCCTCCCTGTGCTGTGCCGTCTGCAAGGCCCCGAATATGCCAGCAATTTGCCCAGAATGCCGGAGGGCGGGTGCCCTGAGAGAACCATGCCTGTGTTTCTCCAGCCTTAGAGGACTCCTTCGGTCCTCCCTGCTGAAGTCTACCTGCCTTAGAGAGGGAGGGAGAGAGAAATAGAAACATCGGTGATGAGAGAGAATCATTGATCGGCTGCCTCCTACACTCCCCACTCTGCAGACTGAAACCCGGGCATGTGCCCTGACCGAGAATTGAACCGTGACCTCCTAGTTCATCGGTCGACTCTCAACCACTGAGCCAAGCCAGCCGGGCTACCTGCATCTTTAATACATGCATACAAGAGGGCATTGCTCCATGTTGGAGGCCCGGCCATGGTCCTCTTCATTTTCCTGAAAAAAGAAAGTTGGCAACCCCGCCCCCCTGTCCCCTTCCCAACTCCTCCTGATATGCGATGCTATCATTAGCACATTTTCACAAGGCATCGCAGCATCCCAGTGACCACCCCAGCTGCACGACAGCAAAGGCATTTACCTTACCTGGCCTTTCTCCAAGGACTAGAAGCAAATGCTATTGGAAGAAATGCTATACATGGATGGTTTTCTATGTTGGTTGATAGTGTTACTACCTGGGAAGGCACTGATATCCAAAGCATTACACAGACTACGGGATCAAGCCCCAATATAACACTTTTAAAATGCAGAAACCTTGCCCTACCTGGTTTGGCTCAGTGACTGGAGCATTAGGTCCCAGACTAAAGGGTCCTGGGACCTATTCCAGTCAAGGGCACGTACCTTGGCTGTAGGTGCGTGCAGGAGGCAACCAACTGATGTGTCTCTTTCACATCGATGTTTCTCTCTGTGTCTCTCCCCCTCCTTTCCACTCTCTCTAAAAATCAATATAGAAAATATCCTCCAGTGAGGATTAACCAACAAAATAAAATAAAATAAAAATTTAAAGGCAGGCACCTTAACCTTCTCTTAATACTCTTCTCTTTAATGTTTCAACTGAAGTCCCTCTACTCTCTTCTCTTTGGCTTTATCTATTGCTCAAATGCAAATGTTTGTACTTAGCTGCTTTTGAAATATAATTAATTTTTGTCCCTAAATGCAAATGATAAATTATACACAAATAGAATCATGCATTTTGTGTTCGTTTATCTCTGCTTCCATCTATCCCTCATGCACCTTTGTGCAGAGAATTAATGTCCTTGATATTTCATCAAAATCTGTGGTGGCCTCCCCTTTCCTCCATGCACCAAAAAATGAACAATGATTCGTTCAACAAGCCTATCACCTAGACTGCTGGTTTTCAGTTAAACAAATGTAAAGTGACATGTAACTACTGTTTAATTGGCACTTACTTGCCAATTACACATCACTAGTTGCTGTGTAGTATGATAGTTATCTGATTTACTAAGGACATTTAGCATCCCTTCATATACTCCTTAATCCTCATGGGACTCCTATTTTAAAAATTGCCTTTTCAAGTTCTTTTATCTATATTTCTCCTGTTGGATTCCAGGAGTTCCTTCTATATTTTAGAATGATAATAGGCCCCTGTGGGTTTTGGACATCACAACAGTCTTTTCCAATCCTTTGTGTGTCTGTTAAAAGTGTCACTGGTGTTCACTGTTGAATAGAAAGCCTTAATTTTGGTATAATCAAGTTCATCAATTTTTTTTGTTTTATTCTTTTGAAGTTTTGGGGGAGAAAGTCTTTCCCCACCCCTGTCATGATTATTCTCCTACAATTTTTCTATTATCTTTATAACATTAGGTAGGGATCCAGTTTTCTTTTTCTCCATAGAATGAGTTGGTTGCCCTACAACCCCTCCAATTAAAAGACCAGTTATAAGTTCCACGTATTTCTTGCAAATCAGATGCGCTGGTATGAAACAAAAGAGCATCTGATAGAACTAAAAGATAGGGTGGTATCTATCTCACTAATAAAAGAGAAACATGGTAATTAGTGTCACTCTGCTACCCTTCCCATTGGCTAATCCCCCTGTCACTCACAGAGTAGGGCCAAGATATGCAAATTAACTGGCAGCCAAGATGGCGGCCGGCAGCCAGGCAGCTGATGCGAACAGGGAGGCTTGCTTGCTTCCCCACTTGACTTGCCGGCCTCTCAGTTGCAACTCTCAGCAACTATGCTGCGAATAAAGAAGCTAAAAAAAAACCCCAGAAACCTGCTTTACTCAGCCAGCTGGACCACAACATTGTATCAAATACAGACAGTAAACAAAGGCCAGAAACCTGTTTTCAGCAGCTGAGGCCTCAGAGCTAAAGCTGGCCCAGAATAAAAAAGAAAAAAAG